CATTCTATAAACTTCACTGACTACTTTTTGTAAAATAAAATAAATTAATTTATAATATATTAATTTAGATTATATAAGTTCAATATAAATATATTAAATAAGGTGAATAGAATAATTATAAAGAGGATAAAATGAATAATGTAATCTTTAATTAATTCAATTTAAATCAAATTAAATCGAATTAAATCAATTTATTTGGAAAATTAATTTATATAATATATAATAAAAATTTCATATATTTTTTATTATTAATTCGAAATAAATCAAATTAAATTGAATTAAATCAATTTATTTTATAAAATATATAATATATAATAAAAATTTCATATATTTGTTTTATTTTAATAAAATCAAAATTATTTTTTTCTATGAATATTACTTACCGGTGTGCAATTAACCAATAACGATAAAAACAAAAAAATTTATTTCATTTACTTTAAGATTAGAGTAAGGCCTGGGATTTTAGTAAGATATTAAATATATACAAAATTTAGCAAGAAATTTTTTTTGCTAATGTGTCGAAAGTAGTTTCTTAGACGAATTCTTGAGATATTAGCATTTTTTGAAAAAAAATCATTATTTTTGTTATACAAACTGATTTGTATATTACATCTGATCCTGCAAATTTATTAGCTAATTACATATCAGTAATAATCACTACTGGTTATAGTTAGTAATATTCTTTTTTTATATTAATTGTAATATAATAAATACATTTCTTTATTTAGCTATTTTGGTATTTAAGTGTTTAATAACTTTTAAAATAATTTTAATTATCTTTAAATAAATCGACTTAGTTCGATTTTTTAAGTATTGAAATGTTATAGAATTATTTGCTACGAATTAAACATTTTTATTATTTTAAACAACTTTATTTATTTAAATGAATCTGCTCTAAATATTTACATTTTACTTTCAACTATGTTACTTAATTTTATTTAAATTAATCTAATTTACTTTTGATTGATTTTTTTAAAGCTTGAATTATATTAGCTTGTAAAAATAAGAGAAATTTACAGATAAAGTCCAGGGCTTAACCCACTATATTAATTTGTTGGCTATTTACTGTACTACTGCTATTGTTTGAAGTATTTTTTTGATTTATCTAAGTTAGTATATTGCATATTTTCATTTAGCTATTTAAATTCCAATATATTATAGGTCAAGTATAGCACTTTTAAATGGTCAGTAAATTAATATAGTGGGTTAAATCCCAAATTGAAAATAATTACAAATAAGGGCCCAAAATAAAATTAATTACAGTTAAAGGTTCAATATTTGAAAATTATTTCAAATATGTAGTTATTTTATTTTATCTACAGGGTTTTAGTCTGGCGGTTATAAATAAACATTGTTTATTAAATTTAATGAATAAGTATATCAATAAACAATTTTTATTGTAATAGCCAGGAAACCCTGGAAGTTCAGGTCATGATCTATAAAATTGCTGCTGTATATATTTTATTTCATCACATATAGGGTGGTTGGCAAGCTTATTTAAGTTTCGCTTGCCTTGCTATAGTTTTAATAGCTCCTAATATAATAGACGAGTAATGACAAAAATAGTAAGCTTTTAATGATTTAAAATTAGAATAGTTGATAAACATATTTTGATTTTATGATTATTAGCTGCCCAATATGTATCAGAGTGGTATTTTATTTGAACCAATATAAAGTATAAATTAGTTACTCATATTTTGTATAGTGATAATATAAAATATAGAATACCTTTATATAATTATTTTACTTTGTGAAACTTTCTATTTTAAAGAAAGTTAGCTGATTCTCTTTAAAAGCAAAAAGGTAATAAAGTTTTATAAATGCAATTTTAATATAATACCAAGTGCTAACAATTATTTTTTAGCACTAACTAATCAAGTTATTATCTATTGTTATAAATTAATATAATTTTCAATTTATCAAATTTGAGCATCACAAAATAAAAAATCTGTATTTCTTATTAGACAGTTTTTTTATAATATTTAATTTATAGCATTATTAGAATTATTATATATTTCTATTGGTAAGTTTTAAATTGAAATTAGTAAATATTTTATGATTGTTCTTTTTACATTAATTGGAAGGTTTAAATTAAATATTAATTAAATAGCTAGAGTAAATTGGTTTTTACCATGAATGAACTAGTTATTAATTAGACTTTTTAGAGACTAGACTGGAATTGAACTAACTACTTAACATCTTTATATGCAAAGAATTGTACAGTATACTACTTTATTATCGTTATTATTTAATTGTATCAGTATACTTTGTTATACTATTTTCTGGTATTGTATAAAAATATAGTTTAAAGTATCTAAAAACTGCTATATAATATATAAGCTTTTAATATAAATTTAATATAAAATATTATATAGACTAAGTTTAATTAATATCAAGACAATATCATATAAAAATTCATAATTAATAAAAATATATATTTGTATACCTATATTTTACAGACCAAACTACCCTTCTCAGTAAAATATTTAACGTACACAATTTCTAATAAATACTAATTATCCATAATTGAATTTATATCCTAATCACTATCATTATTTTCATCTATAACCAAACTTTTATCTATAAAATTATTTAATACAGTTTGATTATAAAAAATAGGATCATTAATATCAACCAATTGTTCAATTATAAACTTTGGTGTTAAATTTGTAATATCTTCAAGTTTTGCTTGTTTTTCTTCAAAAAATATCTCTAATTCATCTTTTAATTCTATAGAAGTTAAAGTATTATTAATATTATCATCCCAATCATCGATATTATAAATTTCTTCTGAATCTATTTCATTATCTTGTTTTGAATTTTTGATTTAAATTTTACTAGATTTATTTTGACGTAACCAGATTTTAATTTGATCTATAATTTTTAATATACTAGTTGTCATATTATTATGATATTTTGTATTATTACACCCAAGAATTGAAAACCATCTCTCTGCTTCTGCTGCATAAGGAACAAGAGAAAAAATATGTTTAACAAATATAACAAGAGCAGTATATTTTGGATTTAAAATATGGTCCCAATATATATATAGATCATCTATTGGAATTTCTTTATCTAAATTAAAGTCACCAATAAAATTTAAATAATCTGCTAGACCATTTTTTATATCTACTGCTAATTCTCTATTCTAATTCCATTTTTTTACAAGTTTAATTGCAGTTGTTTGTATATCTGATAATGTTGTTTTTTTTGAAATTGCAAATTTTCGAGTTTTAGAATATCAAAATATTGCTAGTATACAAAGATCTAAATCAAGTTCTGCAAATCATTTGTTGTAAACTTGACATATATAAAGCTTAAAATCATAATTATCAATATTAGTAAATAATGAAATTAGATTTTTTCCTAAATTAATTAATGATAAATATACATCTGCTAATGTTATATTTGCAGTTTCTAATTGTTTAATAGTATTATTAACAGGTTCAAATATTTTTATTAAAAGTTATTATTTTTCTAATGATTTCTATCTTCAATAATTTGAATTATTTCATGGTCTAATCCAGTTTTTGATTGTTTAGCTTCATTATGATTAAGAAGTTGATGAAATCCAGATTCATGTAGAAAAATTGATTTTATATTATTATATACAGAGTATTAGCGAATATTGGTCCATGTTACTAATCTATGATTAATATCTGGTTGAGTTTGATGCCAATTTTCTAAACGTTTAGACCAAATATGCGATGTTTTAAAAAAGGTTACTAATCTGTTATTTTCATTATAACTTCTCTTGCAATAGAATATGAGAGAATTCCTTTAGAAATAAGATTAGGCAAATATAAAATATATCCAAGACCTGTAATCCAAGGATATCTTAAGTTTTAAAAATAAAATTAAATTAAAAATTATATATAGTATATTATAATAATATATATTAAAATTAATAAATTAATAATTTAAAATTTACCTTTCTGATATAATTTTGTGACATTTTTTCATTACATTTGGGCTATCAGTTACAATCCAACTAAATTGTTCTATATTTAATCCAATTTTATTAATTGCCTCTATAGTTATATTTGCAATATTTTCACTTGTATGACATTGATCTTCAAATTCTTTTAAACCCAATATATGAATATTACTATAACTAGTTATAGCAAAAAATATATAAACAGAACTATTTGAAATAGTTGTCCAGCTATCAAAAATTAATGTTAAATCTTTACAAAACTTTAAAGAATTATAATTTTTAAAAGAATTCGACTATAAATTTTAGGAATTAAATCATGAATAAGTTTATATTTTGATGGAGGTAAGTAATTAATATTAAAAAGTGCAAGAAAATCATGAAAATATTTGTTTTCAATAATTCGAAAAGAAATATCACAAATAATAAAAAATTTAACTAATACTTCATGAATTATATCAATATTATCTTTAGATAAAGGATGAGTAAAATAAGAATTTATTGTTATTTGAGATTGATTACTTGAAGTTTTTGGTTTTTTCAAAATTGACAAAGTATCTTCTGAATCTTGATCATCATTATCTATGCTTTTACTTTTAATACGAGAGGCAGTAGTTTTTTTTAGCTTGTAATTCAATAAATTTAAATCTATCAGGTTGCAGAATATCTTTATAATGATCAATTATATGAATATACATTGCATCAACTCTTTTATCAAAATCTTTATTATAGTAAT